GGTACTCTGAAATAAATTAGAAAAATTAATTTTTAAAGACAAATCTTGTAAATAATTTAATAAGATTTCAATTATACATACCATTTTCAGTAACTTTATAATATTTCGTGGGAGTACCACCTAAAAAATAGTTTGTCATTATGTTGATTATGGTAGACTTTCCAGTCCCAGTTCCACCTAATAAAAGAATTTTGAAGACACCCGGAATTCGACCAGATAAATTTATTTTATTTGTTGTATACTTTTGTTGTGGAAATTGCTGCGGCACGAATTGATTCTCTTGAAAATGGCTATTATTATCAGCAAATGCTGAGTTACGGGGAAGTCCATAATCATTACGTGCAGGCCTTTATGAAGAATAGTAAGGAGGCGGAGAATCATCATCGTTGAAATTATTAAAATTGTTTTGAAAAGAATTTCTGCTGTCACCAATATTTTTATCTGTAGGTTTGCTTGAAAATCCTTCTGGGATTTCTTCAAATGAAAAATTATTCATAGCAAGAATATAATCATTATTCTCCTCATTATACTTTTGTTGCAATTGCGTAGCAATGTGGTCATCTTTCGCATTTTCAGTGGTACTAGCAACTAAAATTTATGCAAAAAAAGGTAATCCATGTATAATTTACATATGGAAAAGAGCGCGCATGCCAGGCTTTGAACGATCTTATACATGCCTTTGTTATTATTTGTCAGAGGAGATTCTGAATTTTATAAAATATTTTAATGTAAAAATCAATTTAATAATAACAAAACAATAATAAAATTAAATTATAATTAACTTGTTTCACGAGTCACACCATTATAATCGTCATAAAGTTTTTGTTGCAACCGCAAAGCAAAAGTGTAATCGTCAATATTGTCACCGTAATTTTGCATGATAAATAATAGAAAATAAACCGATATTTTATATTGACTTATTGTTTATGGTCGATAAAGAAATTTTGAATCTAACAATTAATAAGCCGAGCTTTTATACTAGAAAACGGGAACCAATAAGGCCTATAAAATATATACTGTATATAGCTTGATAAATAAAAAAGTTTAATAAGTGAGTCATATATATTATATGATCTTCTATGATTAGATAAAATACATTAAACAATTGCGTAATACAATAATAATAAAAAATTGAAGAGGATTATTTTGTTTACGTCTTCAGTCTAAATGGCAAAACTTTCGCACCGATCTGGACATCAATACAGAGGCAACCGTGACAGGTCTGGACTGTAAAGTCCTCCACTCCGCTCCGGACAATAAAGTTTATGGAATTATCGATAACATACATGAGCTGCCCGATACGATAGTATCTGTCTCGAATCGAACATGGAGTCTAATTAATTGATCGAATGATTTTGTGTTATGAGGCGTATTATGCAAACGTTTATAGCGAAATGACGTAGTTTTTATTTGCATTGTGTAGTATTTTCGATTAGCAATCGTGGGAGTATCGGTTTGTTGTAATGTGTCAATGTCACAGTTTGTATTGTATGTTGAAATAGAGTGGCTTCTCTCACAGGACATGAGTAAGGCCTATGACTCTGTACACATCCTACTTCTTCAACATGCACTTAACTGTA